TTGTTTTAAGGACATTTGCAGTCCAATGTTTAACATTCTCATTAAACTGGAGAGAGTACAAATTCCTATCCTTTTTTATTACTACATTTTTGCAGATTACTCCAACTATATAAACGAAAAAAAGAACGAGATAAATAAGAAGCAGGAAAGGGCCAGGAAATTAATCGATGAATTTGTTAAAGACACTGAAGCCATTTGCCAAGGTAGGGAGACGGATATCCTCCGAGTACCGGGACAGCTAGTCGGGACGACGGGATTTTTACTCGTTGTAAACTTTCCCCCGTTGGAAACAATGAACATGATCAAAAACAACATCACTTTTTTTATCATTTTTTTAGTTATTAGCTAAAACTATGCAAATACGAATAACATTAAAATTGAAATGCTGATTAGAAATAACTCCTGCTGCATTAACATTTAGGTAGTCTGTGAAAAATCCCCCTCCCCTCAGGAAAAATCGGAAAAGGAGCCCCTTCTCCGATTTTTCCTGAGGGGAGGGTGGGTTTGTACACAGGCTAACATTTAGGCGAAAATCTTCTGTACAGTCATTAGCATTGCGAATAGGTACATTCTTCTAATTATGGTTGTGAAAAAAAATGTTATTTTTGAAATCACAAATTTAGCAACCCCTAAGGAAGGCCTGATACTCAGAATATCACAAATAAGTTTTAAACACTCACTTACAAAATGGCTGCGCTCAGATCAAGTCAATCAAGACAAGGGTTTTATTAGGATGCAAAATCAAGTTGAGTCAGTTACTACTGTTTTTTAATGTACTGTATACAGCTATTTCGAGAAAGGTTGTCGGCAAAAATGTGCACGCGACAATCCCGAGAGGTAATATGGGATATGACTATCAATACACTGTTCCTGACAGTGTAGTTGTCAAAACGCCTTATATTTCTTTCCTCTAGCACGCGCAAACATACGTCCACGGCCTGTTGTGCCATTCTTTCAAATTTCTTTGAAGAACAGCGAACTCAAAACCACCCACAATACCCTTCGTGATTGTCGCGTGCACTTTTTGCGACAACCTTTCTCGAAATAGCTGTATATTGGTGGAACGAAAGTATATGCCCAGTTCCGGCCACTTTCTCGCTGTAAACAGTGTAACTTCTTTCCTGTGCAAAGAAAATTTCATAACTTTCTTTCAAAGATAAAACATTTAACAAAACTGAGTAAAGATTTGCGATTTCTTCAAGTGTCTTTAATAAGTTATTCGAGTTTTTGTACTTCAAGCTTAAGCCTGATTCACTTTCCGGTAATGAATTATAAAGCACGGAGTCTCTTTGACACCCTATAGGTGACTTTCTAATTGTGAGCAGAGCAAGCGAAAGATTTAACAAACAAATAAACAGACGTAAACATAGTTAATAAGCTGAAATTATTTCGACGCCTGTCATATGCATTTGTCAGGTTTTTTATTTTGATCTTTTCTATTAATAAAAACGTCGCATTAATTTATTCAGTCACGATTTGTGAACAAGAAACAAAGTTGCGTCTATAACTGCGATGATCTTCTTTCATATAATTCTTCACCTCGCAGTTCTGGTATTAGTAAAGGGTCTCATTGGGGTTAACCGATAGGCGTAAAACGGCCAAAAATTTAGTCGATAGCCGTAAAAATTGAAAAATTTTAACCGTTAGCCGTAAATAGGGTAAAAAAAGTTAACCGTGAAAGAAATTGTTCCCTAGATTTGCTACTTTTAAGGAAGGTACTAAACTCACTTATGGTTGCGTTTTTTATTTCCCGGCTAGTGTAGCTCCGTACGCACGTTAGGTAAAGCGCCTTTTAGTTGAAGACCAAGACTCATTTCCATTTCCGCCGCTCTCTCGGGGAAATTTTTTTTTTTTTTTCCATACCGAAAGTGTGGCTTCTTGCTGGGGATTAATATTTGCGATTTTCAGGAGGTCGTGCCCTCGAAACACTAGTGAAACAACACGAAGAGATCTCACTGTTTGTAAAACAAGTTGCCAAAAAACAACATTTTCCTGTTCTTCCCTCACGCTACGGTAGACATTGCCATGCCTAGTCCCTGTACGGCGTCTTCCCACGCAGTCTCGGTCAAGGCATTTCGGTGGCGAACTCGCTCGGACCACGTGACCCGAAACGCATTAGCCGCGCGAAATAATAGGGAGCTTAAGCAGCGACGTTTTTGAGCGACGCACGTCAACCGGAAGTGAGGTATTTTCCCTCTTAACATGCCTTGATGATATAAAATTTGTATTCCTTAGCTTCTTTACTGTTATAGAGGCGATTTGACTGAAAATTTGCGCGAAACCACCGTCAAAATTTGAAAAAAGGCCACTTCCGGTTGACGTGCGTCGCTCAAAAACGTTGCTGCTTAAGCTCCCTAATAAGGCCTTCGGACCAGGCAAAACGGCTGACAGTGGCTCCGTACAGTCCTTCGCTACTATTAAAAACAATGGACACGGGAATTTTGTTATTGGCCGTTTTCACACTAGAGCTAAAAACGGATTATCCGTCTGAGACTAGCCTGTGTACAGTCGCCCCCTTCCCGACAGACACCCCCTCTCCGATTTTTTTTCTGAGGAGGGGTGGTTGTACACAGGCTATCTGGAACGGATAATCCCGTCTTCAAACTGTCCGTCGAAGTTGAAGGATAAAGTCAGGCGGATTGTTCATGCAAAATTAAAACTATTCCATTTTCAAATTAAGACGTATTACCTATCTGACGCGAATCATCAAACGGATAACCCGTCTCACACGAATAATCTGTCTTTAATGTGAAAGCGGCCATTTCTGTTGTAATGAATGTCGCGCCCCGACCTTGAGTTAGGCGTTCGCGTATGTGCGTTGCTTTTTCACAAAGATTATTTTTAAATTGACTATTGACATTTTTATGTGTAAAATAATATTAGAAGTGGAATACTTTATAAAAAGTATGATCCATCAAATGTTAAAATTTTTCAAAAGAATAGCTTATTTCATATCCCGAGATGATCTTAAGACCTTTATTTTGCTTTTTAAAGATACAAAAAATACAGGTTAATAAATATTTAACTTTTTGAAACAAAAGAAGTTAATTTTTAACTTTTTTGTTAACCGTAACTGAAAAAATTAGCCGATAGCCGTAAAAGAGCCAAAATTTTAGCCGATAACCGTAAATGCCACCACCCCATTGAGACCCTCTTAGTACGGTGGCTTCGCGACAAAAAAGGGCCGTTTTGTGCACTTTGGAGTACAAGCAGCAAAATTAGCACAGACGTTCCTTGGATCATGCAGGACAGATTCAGAAGGGGTACCAAGAAATCGGGCGTTCAGCGGGGAGGGGAGGGGTGGTTTTGTCAAAGTAACACAATCTCTCGCTATGCTTCACAAAAGGAAAAACAAACACCTTGAAACAGGTTTATCTCGCTTAGTGAAGGTGGTAAAAAAACCTTTTAACAAGATATTGGTAAAGTTTAAGCAGTAGCATGTTACCCATATAAAAGAGACGCCTGAATTATGCTATTTTATGAGGGTAGTGGGAATGGGCGCGAAACAAACCGGGTTGGTTGCGGGAAGGGGGCGGGGAAGATGTGCTTTTGAATAAACCTGACTGGCTGTATTTGCACAATGTCTGTGTATGTAATACCCTCCCGATTAAGTATTGTACATGTAAACGTACAAACTTATAACTTAACATGTAAACATATCGAGGAGCAAGAGAAGAGGTCCTTTGTGTTTTTTGCGGGAAACAAGACTGGTGTGCCAGGCCTACAAGTAGCGTAGCGAGCATCGAAGAGCTGAACACATTGGAGTCACCATGGAATTTCTTTTGCATTGATTGAGAATGCCTTGTGGCTGTTTTTAGGAAGAAACATATCCTCTTACTGCCAGGCTGGATATTTATGATGGTAATTATAAAGAAATTGTAAAGCACAACGCTGCTATCAAGGATGTTAATTTCGGTGAAGTTTAAACAAAATTAGTAGTTGTAATGAGTTATCCAATGTTGCTCTAATTCTCATCGCTATAGCCTTACTTTCTTTCTTTTAACTCCAAGATGATTAACTCAAAAGTATATAGGGGCTTACAGGACAACGTAGCAGTTTTCTAGTCTAGTAGGCATGGATAAATTCCGCGAGCAAAATTTGGAGCGAAATATACGATTTTTACGAGCATTACAGGCAGGAAGAATTCGCATACATTTAGAAGCACAATCTATCCAAGCCTAACCTCTTGGCGCTAGCCTACGCTTAACTGTTCTTTAGATATTACCATTATTTTTAAAAATTAAAAAAGGCTATAGGGTGAATAACGATGATTAAGATGATTAGAGTAGTTCCTGATGAAATTTTCAGCCTGCACGTGGCAAGAGAAAAAAAAGCATGTATTAGCAGTTCGCGTAAAATATTGGATAATTCTTTCTTAAACTTAAACTTCCATATTATGATGTCGGTTGACACTTGAGACCAAGTGGAACAGTAATTGCCTGATGTTTAGACCAGAAAATTTAAAAGACATAACAAAATTGGTGGATACTGCTATTCATCTAAATAATTTAGTTTACTAGGAAATCTGTTATTACAATTGTGTAAAGTCATATCTTGTGGTTGCAGTTCAATAGTTAAGCTTAACTTAGATTATTAGTTCAATTATTGTTGAGTAAACTTAAGCTTATATATAAGTACATACAGGCTATAATAAAACTATCTTTTTACCTACCTCTTTTCCATATGGCATTATTTCTTTTAGGGCAACCTCTCAAACGCGGGACGAGGTAAATAAAGTCAATAAAAGGTGGGGAAAAGGGAGTTGTTGAAACTCATAATTAGATGTAAACAGCTTTTCCAATATGGCGGTGGAGCTTGGGGAGAGTCAAGCGATCCCTGGGAACGAGAAGCGACGAGATAATAACATTTAAGTTTCTCTTTCCTCTGAAAAATACACCATTTTCCCCTTTGAAGATGTTCTCTACCTACCCTCTGGCGCCATTTTGACTATCCAGCGATCGAGTCCGATTTATCGAGAAATCTCCAAATTCTCCAGAATTAAGAGATAGGTTGACCATTTTAGTAATTAGTGGTAATAGCACATCAGCACAGCTGATTACCATAGGTGTTGACATCGGATCAAACATACAGCTCTTCTTCGGAGAGCAGCCAATCAACTTACTAACTGCACTTTCAGTTAAAGAGATAAAGCTGTCCAGTGTTCTAGTTGGTAACATTTTCACATAGTCAAAATGGGAATCATGCAAACAATCAGCTAGTCTGTCCAATTTGACATGGATGGCGTCAATCTTTTCAACAAAGAAGCTACCCATTTCATTGGCTAAAACCAGCTTGTCACTAGTTGGTGGAAAAGGTACTTCATGACCTTGATTTAGCAACCTCTTTGTTGCCGAGAATAGGTTCCGTTGATTGGAGTTATTTTCAACAATAGAGTCTGAGTAAAACTTACCACGGGCTTCATTCATCAGGTAGGTTGTAAAGTTCCTCTTCATTTTAAATTGAAGCAAATCACGGACACTTCGAGATCGACGCCATTTTCTTTCAGCTCTCCGTCTTTCCCTCCTTGACTCCTTTATATCTTCACTAAACCAAGGTACCAAACGCCTCACTGTGATAAACTTAGTGACAAGTAGAGCATGACGATCAAGAGCCGCAGATAATGTAGAATTATAACATTTAACAAGATCATTCAGAGCATCAGGGCTGTCTGTACAAAGCGAAGTTGTAGAGAGTTCATCACATAATAGGTTAACTCAGGAGCCGATTCTGGTTAACGTCAACCACCTTAGTCTTCCTGAAAGAGATTTTTTTCTTCGGGAGCGGTGCCTTGTCCAGGGTTAGATCAAAGATCAAAGTAGAGAGATCAGAAAACAGTCAGTTACAGGGATGTTAGCCAATAAGGAATCGCACTGTCGAGTAATGATCAAATCCAGGGTGAGTCCTGACTCGAGCGTTGGCTCGTTTACATGTTGTTGAAGGCCCATTGACTCAAGCAGCTCGTTTGTCTTGTCCCAGTGCGACTTTTGCTCTCCAGCACGGCGGTTTTGTACCACGTGAATGGCTAGCTGCAAAGGGCCTATTTTAAGAAAAAAAACCCGACTGTTTTGCAGTCTAAAGACTTGAATGCCAATTTTTCCCGATGGAGTTTGTTCCCAGACACCGCTTGCATGATAATAGGCTTTAAGGTGTTTAGTTATCAGCCTTCCCGCTCTTAAACCTGCTCCGAAGTGCCTTTGTTAATCGCACTTACTGGGACCGTAGAACGCGTAAGATTTGTACGTCGAATCGATCATATAAGCATATACAGGCACAATTGACAACGTGAGCATCATTTGTTTCTCTTTACTGTCAGGGGCGTAGCCAGGATTTTTTCAGAGGTACGCACAATTCTTCAAATCACTTTGTATCCCCACCCCTCCTCTACAAAAAAACTTCCTTGATTAAAGATTTGGTTACGTTGTAAGCCTAAGAGTTTTTTTCTGCATATGAAATGACAATAGCAGCTTATGAAATGCTTTGTCGGGTGCTTGGATCCATTGACTGATGCATGTTAACAATCTATCATTTATATAGCCTGCGTGTACACAGGCTACTGTCATGCAATAAGGCTACATACTTTTCCGGATTCGTTACTTTATTTTATGATACTGTGTCCATTTCGTCGTTTTTAAGCAGATGCAGCGCAAGCATGTCGACAGACCCTCTATTTTCTTTTTGAAGTTTGTCGAGCGCGCGTGATAAAACAATAAAAACCGCGGGGCATTTATTGACCGCCAGTGCAGGGGGTAGGGGTGGAGAAGAAGATTTTTCGAAAAGATCGAAAAGAAAAATAAAATAACGTCTGTGTACAGGCTTATGCAGCGCGTGAATCGTAATTAAAAAGGTGCCAATCTGGTCAAGTCTCTATAGATTTTGAATCCGAAATCTAAAGTCAATCCGTTGCCTTCTAAATTCGCAATATTTTGTAGTTTAAACAATTTGTCCAGCTTATCCGGATACTTTTCCGCATTTGATCATATGAGTTTGCAGTAAAACCAAAATGGAACCGTCACTTTCATATAGGATGCCTTAGCAACGACGACGGCGAGGGCCGGAAACGAAATCTTTTTTTTTTTTTTTTAATAGCTTTTTCGAGTTTATTTCCGTCAACTCTCTTAAAATGGCAAATATAGGTGAACTTCCCTATGGAGTCTTGGGGACCGCACCCAAGTTCGGATCAGCGAAGAAATTGAATTTGTCCCTGTGTTTACGTCCTCCAAACAACGTCGCAAAACGAATTTTTTTACGGTGGTGTTCGTACAAGTTGTAAAAAAAAGCGCGCTGGACGTGCAAAATTTTTTGTTTTTCCTTTTACTTATTGGTCTTATTGCCGTCGCCGTCACCGTGGCCTTCGTTGTTGCTCCCAGGATTTATCGACTTGTGTGAACCGTTAGGAATTCGAACACGGTTTTAGTAAAAACGCCTGCCATCTTTTCACTGGATATATACAGTCATGTATGTTATCCAAGATTCGGTCCATTACTGATTGATTTACTTCGTTTCTCGGGAAACCGACATTTGGGTGGAGAGGGAAAAAAATTCGTTGTTGTAGAAAAAATATGTATTTCAAAGAAACAACCAGAGTTGAATGTGCAAACTGTGCTCTTAAAATAATTATCTTTAGATATTTTGCTTTCTTTTTAGAATTAACTTTTTATTTTTTATTATATATTCATTATATATTTTTTTGTGCACGACTTTTTCAGGTATGCACGTGCGTACCGTATGTACAGGTAGCTACGCTCCTGACTGTCAACTCCTAGAAGCGACATGCAACTTTGATGTATCTTTGTGCGGTTTCGAGCAAGGCACAGATGACAAGTTTGACTGGACTCGACGCAAAGGAAACACACCTTCTTCCGGTACAGGACCTTCTTTTGATCACACTACTGGAAACATGACAGGTGAATCGTAAATTTGCGATCGTGTGGCAAAATCTAGAAACTTACTATAAGGCTGTCCTACTGCTATTAGCAAAGAGAAATATAACATGTATTAAACTAATGTAAGAGCAGTCCGCTGCACATATTGTTAGTGAATTTTATAGTCAAAGCAGGTCAAGCGTACCCCCCAAGATTCTGTTAATGAATTGATTATTTGAAAAATGAATCCGTTAGTGGTTCCCGCGATCTTTTGTCAAATTCACATCGGCATTTCTGCATGCGTAATGAGCAGTGAATATCTAACGAGAACTTCTCTGTATTAGGTCAGATTGAAAATCTTTGAATAGATTATATTTGTTAGAAGATATTTACATCAAATTCAGGGAAACTGAGCTGGTAGAAATTTCGTAACTGCCTCACGTGTGAATTCACAGCTCATTTCGCATGCAAGAATGCAGAGATGAATCTGAAATCTACAACTACCAACTACGATGGCCCAGGAGGGTCACAGTCCAGTATTGGTTTTTGACAGTCCAGTTATGGTTTTACACAGTCTAGTTTTAATTTTTATACAGTCCAGTTTTAATTTTTACACAGTCCAGTTTTATTTTTTTTACACAGTCCAGTTTTAAATTTTACACAGTCCATTTTTAATTTTTACACAATCCAGTTTTATTTTTTTTACACAGTCCAGTTTTATTTTTACACAGTCAATACACAGTCGAGTTTTATATTCTGTGCAGTTACCAGACCTCTCTCGCCCTACTGTGACACGTGTTATCTCACGGCAGCCATTTTGTATTTCCTGGTGACGATGGATTCAATCATCAGGCAGGTTGTTCGAGAGGAACTGAAATGTTCAAATTCTAGTCGTCCAGAAACTGCGTCTTCTACTAATCAAGATGATCAGGGAAGAAGTGAAAACGAATCAGGTGCGGCTGGATCATCACGAACAGTGGGCCGTTTGGGGTGTTTTTAAAACGAAGACCCAAAAACGAAGACGTAAGACCCCCGGGGAGGTACTCCCTTATAAAAGCTTAATGGGGAAGCCAGGGTATGTTTTTCGGGATTTTTGTCTTAAACAGGGCATTTTTTGTCTTAATCAGGGTATCTATTTTATCAATTTTTCACACAGGGTATCTTTTCTTGGACGATAAACAGCCTGCGGGTATGTTCTACGAATGTCTTAAACAGGGTATCAAAATCAGAATTCTGTCTTAAACAGGGTAGGAAAATCAGCGATTTTTGTCTTAAACAGGGTCAGGGTATGAGGAGCCGGGCTGCACCTCCCCACCCAAGGATATATCGAGTACCCCCCCGGGCTAAGACCTAAGACCCCTTGGACTAAAACGAAGACCCTCTGAACTAAAACGAAGACCCCTGTGGATTAGACTCTTATGGCGATTTATGAGTGTTGTGGAATTTCCTCTGCGCTATTTAATTGTGATAATGAAGTTTATCACTCACCTTTTCTTCGATCGACGGCTAAGAAAATATAACCGCGTGCTCTAGCGTTCTAAAATGTCGAACAATTGTATCGATCAATACATTTACAAAACAAAATAACCGGCATAAGGAGGAAATAACGAGACATTTAGCAATTATGAATTCAAGAAGAGGGGAACCTTGCGCTCTTTTTATTACTTTTTACCTCATCAATAGAAAAAAAGCCGTCGAACGAAAACATCACTCGATTAAAGGTGTACATTTCGAGTTTCATGCAAGCAAGGTTCATTTGTATACATGCCGGGCTATATTTATATCCCTGTTACTTTATTCTGACCTCTATTGTAAAAAGAATGACTCACCTTTTACGGCTCAAACAGTTGTTATTAAATGATAACAAAATAAAAATGAAAGAAAAAAAAGGAAAGGAAAAAGATACTTCTGTTTTGCAAGATTCGATCCCGAGAGACCTACCGATGAATCCAAGGACGTTACCACAAGACTACGAAAGCTTTCTCGAATACACGGTGGGAAAAATTTTTATTGAAACAAAAGTGACGTCATCATCACCGTAAACACATCCAAATTGTTTAGAGTTTAATCCACAGGGGTCTTCGTTTTACAGTTTTAGTCCAGAGGGTCTTCGTTTTAGTCCAGGGGGTCTTAGGTCTCCGTTTTTGGGTCTTCGTTTTGGAAACATCCCAAACGGCCCACCGTTCGTGATGAAAAACATACCCTGGCTTCCCCATTAAGCTTTTATAAGGGAGTACCTCCCCGGGGGTCTTACGTCTTCGTTTTTGGGTCTTCGTTTTAAAAACACCCCAAACGGCCCACTGTTCGTGATGATCCAGCCGCACCTGATTCGTTTTCACTTCTTCCCTGATCATCTTGATTAGTAGAAGACGCAGTTTCTGGACGACTAGAATTTGAACGTTTCAGTTCCTCTCGAACAACCTGCCTGATGATTGAATCCATTGTCACCAGGAAATACAAAATGGCTGCCGTGAGATAACGCGTGTTGCAGTAGAGCGAGAGAGGTCTGGTAACTACACAGAGAATAAAACTGGACGGTGTATTGACTATGTAAAAATAAAACTGGACTGTGTAAAAAAAATAAAACTGGACTGTGTAAAAATTAAAACTGGACTGTGTAAAAAAATAAAACTGGACTGTGTAAAAATTAAAACTGGACTGTGTAAAAAAATATAACTGGACTGTGTAAAAATTAAAACTGGACTCTGTAAAAATGAAAACTGGACTGTGTAAAAACTAAAACTAGACTGTGTAAAACCGTAACTGGACTGTGTAAAACCAATACTGGACTGTGACCCTCCTGGGCCATCGTAGCCAACGGATTCAACTTTTGAATAAATAATTCATTAATGGGATCTTGGAGGGTACGCTTGACCTGGCTTGACTGTAATGTTGCCAGTTTTTCTACTTTATGCCACGGCCACTTTCTTTGGTTTAATTGTCTTTTTTGCTACTTTTTTTAGCTGCTTGAGTATTTAATTCTTGAAAGTATCAGGCGAAAATATGTAATTTCCTGCCACTTAGCGCAATACGAGGACGTTGCAGTCACTCTTTACATCCGGGGGGACTTTGTTCATTTCTTGTAGCGTTTCCTCGTCCTCTCAAATCCCGAAAGAAGGGCGTCTTAGCACCTTTTTTTAAGAAGGCACCCTTCTTTGATCATTCTCATCGTATAAGTCGGGGTCACCTTTTTAAAGTCACATTGAAACTTTTTTAGTGCGCTCTGGGATTGTTTTTTTTTTCTCTTCTCGCTCTCCGTACACCTTGTATCCCCTTCTAAGTTATAGACGTGTGCATTTATACATTATATCTTTTCAACAAAAAACTAGATGATGTAACAAAATTGGACAGTCCGCACCGTCTGATTAAGTATTTGCTACTCTATGTCGATCTTCATCTCTTTAAAGGTTACTTCATGTACATAGAAGCATCCAGTCCAAGAAAACGAGAAGATAATGCAAAATTGTACAGTCCTCCACTGACATTCGCAGGGCACATGTGCCTTGAATTCTATTACCATATGTCTGGTGTAGCTATTGGAAGCCTGAAAGTCACCATAGATGAAAAAGTAGTGTTCTCTAGAAGCGGCCATAGAGGAAACATTTGGTATAAAGTCAGTATAAATGTATCAGCTATTGTGGGATTGCGTTGGGTAATAAGCTTTTATTGTTTTTACCTCTCTTAATCTAACTAAGCCGAGATCCTCAACGATGGGAAAACGGTGTTCACTAAAGGTAGTAATAGATGAAGTAAATAGACACTAAGGAATATTTGATCATATGTTTGTAATAATTTTACTTCGGCTTTGGAGTCTAAGCAGGTTCGAAATCTTACTTTATTCATGAATTTCTGCTTTTTGCACTTGTCAGTTAAAAAGAAGGTGAAATAGTTGACTCGATCGATCGACTGCTACTATTATCAGGCTGCATCTTAAGCTGAATCTTACCATTAGTTTTAATTTGACACAGTTAAGTATATATATCATTCGATAATAACATTTTGTCATTAATTTCAGTACAACATATATTAGTTTCTCTTCAAGTCATGAATTAACAGCAGCGCTTTCGGACTGATTATACATTCATAGAACAGTGTAATACAGCAGTACACGCTTAAGTAATTTATACACATTTCGAGCCATTGCAGCGCGGGATTGAGTGGGGTTTTTTAAAATTTCCTCACGTACCAGTTATATTTGTGAGAAAGCTTCGCGTGGTTCAGTTTTGTCTGTTATTATATACAGACGTTATTAAACAAATCAGGCAACCCCAACCGCGATTACAGACTGAAATAGACTTCACTCATTCCTATTACTCCGCGGTATCTAAATTATCAGAATTACTTTCTTTTATCACAGGTGACATTTGAAGGGGTAGTTGGCAACGGTGACAGTGGTGACATAGCAATTGACGACTTCTCCTTGACAGCCGGGTCTTGTGCTTATGGTAGGTAGTTTTGAAAAAGAAACTTCTTTCCAAGATGAAAAAAAAATAGTCCTACTTTTGATACTAGAGTTGTATCTTGAAAGCCCGAAGCAGCTGCCGTAGAGGCAGCGCCAATACGAAAACTGTGCCTTTTTAGAGAGTTATACGGTAGACCGACTTGACGCGCGGCGTCCCTAAGACGGTTAACGATGGCGGATCTACAACCCTGGTCAAAACTCTTGGGACACTAACGCAATAGCTCGTCAATTTGAGGCATCTTCCCTCCCCCCTTCCCCTCGGTGCAGTGTCGACATTATGTATTCAAGTTTTAATTCAACACAATCAACACTGCTTAGGGGAGAGGGTGACAGCAGAAATAGCCCCTTATAACAACATCTCCAAGCTTTTTTAAAAGGTAGAATATGAGTTAATTTAGTAAAGTGCGTCTTTGTGGCTAATTTCGTCAAGTGTCCCAAGACGTTTTGACCAGGGTTGTAGTAGGTAGACGCCCAGATTGGAAAGAAAAAAGTGATCCACGCGGGCGAGCGGTGAGAAAGTAATCACGCCCCATCTTGACTCAGTTGTGGGTATTTACGTTTGTCTTTAGGGACAACAAAAGATTAGCGTCGGAAGACAATTAGAACGGGTGTGTATGAAAATGAGGATAAAGACCAGGAAAAGGATTGAAACTTACTTGTTCAGGTTCTTTCAATATGCCTCTGATAATAATTGTCGTTATAGAAACTTGACAGCAGTTGTATTTCATCACGACGGCGCGCGGGAAGCAATTTCTTTGACGGATTCAAAAAGTACTGTGGGGTAGCGAAGTGATGGAGCGAAAACCACCCATATCTTTTCAAAGCGGAAGTACTAAAAATATTATTCATAAAGCTATCTAGATAGGTATATTTTTTAGTGAAATATTGAAAAAGGAATGACTCGGAGGGAGGGGCCATCTCTATTGTTTTCATGTGTTTGTCTGTGACTGATTCATCACTGCCAGTGTTCCGTCACATACTAACGGGCGAGTGCCAGTCGGGTCGCATGTGTAAATTTGCAAGGGACACCGTAGTCATTCGAACCAGAGAGGTCGGGGAAAAAATAAAAACCTAGGCAAATAGACCATAAGTGCGTGAGCTTTGTTGTTGCTTTTATCTGCTTGTGTAAACCGTCTTGGTATGTTGTGTCCGTAATTCTGTAATTCTGTTTTTAAAATTTGTGTCGCGGTCGTGTTTACGGGACCAGCAAGTGCATAAAATTGGTAACGTCTGGAGTCTCCAGAATAGAAGGTTCGATTCGGAGGTCACACACGTTTATATTCCATATATTCTTCGCTGATTAAATCGACCATACTTCTAATCAATCCCTTCGAGTGTGGGCCTCTGTTTATTTCTCAATTCTCCATCAAATCCAGTACAGTTGTTTGGTTGATTTTCTACAACGATCAGCCCTTTGAACCCGAAATAATGATGCGAAATAAAGGCTTGATATACGTGCTTAAGCTAATTTTTTCAAACAGCGTCTATGGCAGAGAAAAATGGTTTTAATAGAACAAATTCTCCGGGGGGTACTCGCCTATAAAAGTGACGGGAGTGCTCGTCGAAAATTTTCGAGAACACCCCTTAAAGGTACCAGAATCTTGTTTTATGGGCGTGTCCTAAATTCATTTCCACTCCTAAGAGGTACCAATTCAACAACAACAAATTATATAACTGGCGCTGCAAATTTTAATAGTAAAAAAGATAACTTTCGAACAGTTTCTTCTCAAGGACTTTTTGAAAATATTGTCATAAATCTTTATCCTAATCAGTCATTTAAGGTTTTAGCACCCTAAGCGGTACGAATTCACAAATTTAAACCCCGAAAAGGTACGACGAGCAACCCCGTCACTGTTATAGGGGAGTAGTACCCCACCCAGGACAAACTCACTTCACCAAAAACTGAGTGGCACAATAGTGCAGTGGTCAAGGAGTTGCTTGCACGTGCAGATGAACTAGGTTCGACTGCCGGCGAGGCTGTTTTCTGTTTCTTTATTGTACAATATTTTATTCTGTGAGGGAATTTTCAGGTGGTTTGTTGCATTGAGCCAGATGTAGGAACGATATTTACCCAAAATACGCAGGTGTTCGAGATGGTATGCAAACAATGAAATCCAAGGCCAAGACTAAAACAAATAACTATATGCCTTTGCCAAATTATCAGGACTAACATACCAGGTTGAAATTTACCAAAATTATGCATAATTATCAACTGAACATAAGATCCTGCCATGATCGTGACTGCGATTACGGTAGACAAAGTTTAATCCTTGCTATGCAGAATTATTGTACTTGGACTAGCTAGTTTTCCACAAATTAGCATAGAAATGGGATGGGAAATGGGAAACATTTTTGGGATGTATAGATGTTATTCACCGGCCTTGGTCGATCCGTATTGGGAGAAACTGCCCGAGGTCTTGAGTACCACCCTAGGCCGTAGGCCGAGGGAGGTACTCAGACCGAGTACACAGTTTCTCCCAATACGGATCGACCAAGGCCGGTGAATAACATTTTTATTTTTTCCCTACTGACATTTAAAAGTTTCTGGAAAATTTTACTTCATGCTCTAACCTATGTATGTTGAAGTAGAACGCGTTCGTGTTGATGAAGCGCGCGATCGATTGCAAACCAAAACAAAACATACAACGTGATTTTTAGCTTGTAATTTATATTGGTTGTCTTTACGCTAGGCTGTTAAGTAAGACTTAAGAGCTGCTAAGTTTTACTTAGCCAAAACTTAGTGTGTGAAGACCTAAGTAAAATCTCAAGTAACTTTACTTTGCATCTCATTAAAGTCGGAAAGTTGAAACGATTGAAGAAAGTTTCAAGCGACTTGAAAACCATCTTTATGACCGACTTAGCTGACTTGCGGTTCCTTGAGCTTTGAGAAAGGCAAAACATGTCAATCAGTCTTAATTATGTTGCGTGGGAAAATGACCTTAGTTAACCTGAAGTAAAAAAGAATCGGTTGTGTGTGAAGCTTTATTTAAAATTTACTTGTCTTGAAATATTTCTTAGCTTATTTAGGCTCTAGTGTAAAGACTACCAGTATCACAATTCAGCTCTGGGCTCTTTCAGAATAAGGAGAGGTTTTTGTGTCTTGGTAGACAATTCATAATCTGAGTGTCAAACAAAGACAAAAGGATTGACGAACTTGATATTAAAAGCCACAGGAACAAAAAACAGCAAAGATTTTCTTCGGCTAAATAATTACTTTAGGACTAATTCAATCGAGCAGAATGAAAACTGCACAGGGCTTTATAAAAGGAGCTAATTACAGATACCAATCGTAAGGTTTTGACTATAAATAAAAATAATTAGCTTTAAAAAAGTAAAATAAAAGCATCGAAAAGGATTCCTAACCTAACTGGTAACCTCCTAACCCTAATCTAACTTAACCTAACCCTAACTCGAGCTTTCCTTCCATGATTGCTACGAAAACCCTCCTCTGAATGGTCACGGGACTTGCAGAAAGTCAAAATGGTGGGACAGCGAAAAATTGTCGAGTCCTGCGTCGAGTCCTGGCTCGAAGTCCTGGCTCGAGTCCTAGCTCGAGTCCTGGCTCGGTATTTAGGCATCCTCATTGAAAGCTATTAAAACTTAAGCTTAAATGCAATCAGTCTTTTCTGAAAAGTAGAAAATTAGCGAGACAAAATTCAGTGAAAGACGACAGCTTCTAGATTCAGACAGCAGAAATGGAAAACAAAACTACAACCGATCAGCGCTAACAATAGACGCACAAGTTTATTCCGATTTGAGTCCTCGAGGGTTACAGCAATAAGCAAGATGGTAGAATATTGACCCCAAAGACTCGACTGACATTAGGTCCGATGTACCGTAATTTGCCGTATTTGATGTGTTAATTAAGTTGTGTTGTGTTGTGGTTTAAACTGAAATACAAGGTGAAAATAAAACTTCAGAAATACTGGGAGCGAAAAAGAAATACAGCAAAAATGAAATACAGCAAACGAATGGACAACGCACTTACATTGTTTTGGCGCAAAACTTCTGACCGCAAAAGAGATACTTCTGATAGGAAACTACTACTTAATGCTCTTGAAGAAACAACGTTGAAATAAAAGCTGAACTGAAAATGCTAGATGGAGTAAGGTCACCGCTGCACATTGCGTTGATTGTAGTGAATCCTTTATTAACCCACAATCATTTATTTTTTCTTGCAAGACTGTTCACAAAAATTTCACCACTTTGAAAAAAAACAAGATCTACCAACCAGAGGAGGGTCTGACGTCGAACACTTCACTATCAGCGGAAATCGGTTTCTCGCCTTCGCAAACTATAAAAGTGATACCGAAGGATTTAACACCGACTCTTTCATCTACAAACAGAACGATTCCACTGGAATTTTTCTCCTTTATCAGACTTTAGGCACGCATGGAGGCATTGACATGGAATATTTTAAAACTGGTGATCAACATTACCTGGCCGTCGCAAATCATTATGATGGAACTTCGTACCGACAGAATTCAACTATTTACCAGTGGAGTCTAAGTCAGGAACAATTTGACGTCTTTCAAAGCATTGAAACATTAGGAGCAACCAGCTTTGAGTTCTTCGAAATAACAAATGAGCAGTTTCTTGCCATTTCAAATTTTCGTGATGGCCACTTCTACAGTATCAACTCATTCATCTACAAATGGAACAGTAATAAATTTGAAAAGATTCAAGACATAGCCATCGAGGGGGGCTCATAAAACTGAGACCTTTGTAATCAGCAATGAAACCTTCATTGCTTTTGCAAACTATGGCCGATGGCATATTACCTCACGAGGTCAGTCAGCTGTGTTCAAGTGGTCAGGGCAGCAATTTGTCAAACTGCAGTCTTTCCAGACATATGGAGCCCGAGATGTGAAGTCATTCAGTGACAATGGTTCTACTTTTCTCGCCTTTGCAAACTACAAATTCGGTGCGCAACGCAATATCAATTCTCCCATTTACAAGTGGAATGGCAGTCGTTTTGTTCTATTTCAGTCGATTGCTACTCCTGGAGCAGCCGGCTTACATCCTTTTATGATGTGCGGTCAACGTTTTCTGGGTGTGGCTAGTTTGTATGATTTGCTATACGGGCGCAACACCATGTCAGTGGTATATCGAGTTTCTCAGGAACAGTTCATTGAATATCAAGAAATTCCAACCCAGGGAGCTTTTGGTATGACGTCATTTCAATACAAAGGCCACACTTACCTAGCAGTTGCAAATCGTGTAACTGATCCTGGCAGAAACAATATCAACAGTGCGCTGTATAAGTGGGCCTAATATGGGGCGCCTCGCCAACAAAGGCCACTGACATAGATATCTTTGGGCCAACGATTTCATGATTACCTCTAGTAGTGTCATTTCAGTAAATTTACATCGCTAGAAGTTATTTAATGTGAACATAGTATTCCTTATATCCAGGTATAATACAGAGTAGATTACGTGAAAGGGATACCTTTTATCCCAAAAATGGCATGTAAAAGGGTAAGGTGTCGGACACCTCAGTGGAGCTTCCTCGTATATAACTCTTTTGAGTGCCTCTTCCCCGTAATTTCTGTCAGTTCTAACTGTTGATGCGGGGTCACGCTTTTGTCCCGTTAGAAAAGTAGTACAGGGCGCACCGAATTAACCTTTCTTTGAGCAGGAACCTCCGCAATAACATCATCAACGTATTACATTAACGTCGATGATGTCATACCTTTTCGTCTTTATCTCATGAACAAAATGCGGTGGATTCTCATTATCGTCCCTTTTATTGTATTTTTAACACCATAGAAACAATAGATTTTGATAGCCTTTAATTGACCGGTTTTAACCTGGTTATCACAAATGTAGTGGTGCTTTGAGGATGCACGATATTGGGAGCGAAATTATTAAACTTTGGAGGAGCAGGAAGCTAAAGGGAGGAAAGACACAAGGGAATACAAGCGCGTGCGATAAAGGCACCTTCCTTGCTTGTCTTCAAGGGACGGTTTGCATCGGCCATTTCTAGCGTAACGCAACGTTGCAGTGTTGGAACAATGTTGTAACCATTCGAAACAGTTGCAACGCTTTGTTCCTCTGAAAATTGTCCTCAATCGTCTTGTGTGACAAACATCGCCATTTTGTGGATGTTACGGAACTTGCTCGCTTTGTCTTTTTAACATTTTGATTCAAAATATTGTTAAATTTTATTGTGTTTTTATCGTATGTATATATTATCTATAATTGGATCGCTATTGTAAGCTGCAGTATTAAAGCATGAGCTTGCAAAAGATACCTTTTACTCTGTTGAAGTCACAAATGTAATAAAACTCTCAAATGTAATAAAACCATCGAATGCTATCAAAACCGTATATACTGGAAAGAGCGCCGCCCTCAATTTAAGTGGGACATAAATAAGCGCTCTTTCGAAAAACACAACATTCTTTTGCGTACAATCGAAAGAGCGCCGCCCTCGACTGACCGTCTCACTTTGAAGTAAGAAATCAATAACATTCTGCTGCATTGAACCGAAAGGGGGCCACCCTCGAGTAAGTGCATTCTTCTATATTCGAGGGGGGAGCCCTTTCGGTTCAATGCAGTGGTAGCTAGGTTGAATTTTTTATTGTATTAGCGATACTTTTTTTTTTTTTTCGTTTAGTCTTTGTGGGGACTTCGGGGACCGTTCAAATTTCAGAACGCATACTACGTCCGTC